AGTGCCGGGGTCCCCCCTCCCCATGGCAGCCGCTCGTGACCGGCAGAGCGGCCTGGGCTTCCGCAGCAGGCCAGCTTTTTGGTAAGTGGTGAAGTAGGAAGTCGGAGCACAGGGGATGCCAGCTGACAGAGACTTAGCAGGGGCAAGGACAGCGCACGCCTTTTTATAAGCATAACCACAAAAAAGATGAAAGTTTGTTTCCTTTTATATTTAACCCAAACTGACACAAAGAGGGACTTTCTTCACTTCCTAACTGCAGCAGCATCCATGCACAAACTTTCAAACTCAGATTTCACTATTTCTGACACTGCCCGAGACCAAACGTGGAGCAGAGCAAGTTGGCCCAGTGCCACCAGGCTTCATGGGTCCCCATCACCGCTCATCTGATAAAGTCATAGTGACAAACACGTGGTGCTACTGTGCTGCTTTAGCGACACTTTACACTTGTTACACTGAAATAACCAGCTACACAAGGACAAGGGACCGCTGGAGCGATGACATCCAGCGTGCACATATGGAAAGGGCTGGATCCTGCTGCAGGAGACAGCTGCATACGTTTCCAAGAGCTCAGTCACTTACTCAGTCACTGGTAGACCTCCCGCACACATAGCTCCTTCGCCGAGGCTCCGCCGCAGGAACGCATGTGCCACATGCTGCTTGCGCCCAGAGCAGAAAGCACGGCTGGGAACGGGAGGCCAGGGAATCCCCGGTGCCTGCACGGGCTCGTGCCTGTCTAGAGCACCACCGTCCCAGAGGAAAGGACCAAGAGGGGGGCGCAAAGCTGCTCTGCCACATCACCATGGTTTCCTGGTCCAGTGGTCTACGTAGCTGCTCCTAGTAGCTTCAGCGAGGTCTCCACGTTTCTCAAAATTTCTTAAGAGGGACGTTGCTGCCGTGGGAGACTGCTCCATTTGGAGAGAGCGTTTTCCCCCGTCCTCCGATCACGTAAGCGCAACAGGCAAGAGCTGTAGCACTCCCAGCTGCCTCCAAGCAAAGCACAGGCTACAGGCTAAGCCTCCAGGCCTAACGTTGCTTCCACAAACTCAGAAGCCGGATCTCCGAGTCACCCTGACGCAGACACGTCCTTTGCCTTGCGTTACTATTAAAATCTGGTTATGACAACCTAGAGACTACTTTTAAAAACAGGATTTGCTACAGACTCTGTGCTGTCTGTTGAGCGTGTGCATCCCCTGCCAGGACAGCGGGAGGAAGGAGAGAGGCTCTTTACGGTTTCTCTTTCTGTTCCGCATACCCTAGGCAATATTTACAGCTGCCTTTGGGACCCTGGTGCCGGGGGGCAGCCTTCAGTTTATAAATAATCTTCAGTGATGTTTGGGTAATTTTCATAGTTTCCGTTCATTTAAAGTTTCACCAAAACCTGTATTTTTGCAGCTTGATAGCTTGAACATGATTGGGTTGCTGGTTTTCTCTTATTTAACTGTCTGGCAGTTGATGAATTTTTCATTCACGTCTTCCTTGCCAAGTCCAGTTTGCACGCCTGGTACCCTGTGTCCCATAATTGTCTTTTAGAAGACCGTGACATGAACGTTTTGCAGAGAAAGGAACTGCAGGAGAGAAACCCCTGCGATGTCTTACACTGAGAACAAAGTAGATGAGCCAGAGTTTAATTTGGGAAAGGTGAGGATGCGCTCCACAAGGCGCAGAGGAAGTGGGCAAGAGCAAGCTGATCAAGCTTCCAAAGTAAGACAGACCCTGCCAAACTCCTCATCTATCCTCAAATCCCACAGAGGGCCAAGGAAATTGTGGGTATGAGGGAACACAAGAGCAGAGCCTGGCAGGCCTGTACTCCTGCTGATGGTACTGAAGAGACAAAGAGCGAACCGGCAGCCAAGCCCCACCGCTTGACTGAGCACCTGATGCTTTGCTCCGCAGCCGCAGAGCGGCCCCAGTCACGGTGCTCAGGTAAACAGCTCCACGATTTGCCAAATCCACATTTCCAGTGATTCTGCTCCAGCAATGACTGAATGCAATGAAATTCTTGTTTACCAATGCTTGCCAATAATGATATACAATCCCCTCCCTCCACCCCTCCAGTCTCCTGGTTCCTGTCTCTTGGCAACTGATAAATAATTTATAGCGCTCTCTGCTGCATGTGCTAACTGCAGCTCTGCTGGTTTAATGATGAAACCAATGCCTAAGAACTGGAACAGTAACTGTCTACATCACAAGGAACACATAGTCAGTTGATCCCACGCTCCTCTGTATGCAAAACTAAAAGCAAACTGTTCAAAAAGAGAAACAACTTTTGTTCCACAGCTGCAGAGCTGAAACTGCCGTGCAGGAAAGGCACACGCAGGGACAGCCGATTATCTGCGAGGGGAACAGGCGCGAGCTGACGCTCCTGCCAACACAGCTTGTTTAACACGCTTCACCATTTTGCTCTTCTCTGTTCCTGCGCATGGAAAACCTCGCAACATGCTGTTTTTATGATCAACTTCTGTTGTGCGCTCCTGTGCCGTTCAGAAAGCCTCTGGTGCTCGCATCTCAGAGGTACCACCGCTGCCTACCTCAGAGGCTAAGAAGCTGTTGCAGTTCACATGCGAGGAGAGCTATTAAGAAGCAGCAGCTTGTCTACCTGGACTAATGTGACTCTTGCACCAAAAAAGAGACTCTTCATCTCATGACAGATGTTCTTCGAGTCTTTCCAATAGAGCCGTAATCACTTATGAAAACCGGCATGTTTGAACCGTAGACAAGACACATACACAGGGTGCGCACTATTGTGGCAACAGAGTCTCTTACATCCATAAACTCATTGGAATGAGACTACCCAGGCAGTTGGCAACTGCAGGCGTGAGGGCAGAGGAGTGAAAGTTTCTGTTTTGTTGTTAGCTTTTTTTTTTTAAGCTATGAACTGAGAACAGGGAAGGAATGAAATATTTCTATTGACAAAGGCCAAAATCCCGTCTATTTATATTAGAGCCACACAAAAACCACAACAGAGCAGTGCTCAAAAGCTTTAAAAAAATGCACCTACTTTCTTAATGCTCTTCGACAATAATAATAAAACCCCCCTATCAATATTCACTTTCTGAAATGGCGTAAAAAAAAGAACTGCATCAATCATTAAACAGTTAAATGAAGGCAGTATGACAGTCACTATTGTTCCCATGAAGCACACTTGTCTTTTGCCGAGCAGCTGCCAGATCCTATTAGATGTATAAAAAGAGGACTTTTCTAACTGAGTAGGGATGGTATAAGCTATTGAAAACAGCAGACAAAAGCCCACTTTTGCAGACTATTCAAGCCTTGTATAACATCTGTCCAAAATCAATTTTTGACCTAATGTTACTTTCATTAAGTAACAGACTTTGTTTCCAACGCAATTTGTTTTCTAGGATAAGATTGTATCCTAAGCATTGTTACGTGGGAAACAGCAGAGAGGAAGCAGAATATCTCATTTGAGAAACATGAGAACAGAATTTGCTTAATTGTTTTGACACCTTAAGTCCTACAATAGGGAAAATATTTTCCATTTATTTAAATTTATCTGAATTCTTGAAGCTGGCAAAGCAGCAAGCAATGTATTAGGGTTATTATGATTAAGATTTACTGAGGATAAAGGAGGATCTTTGGGAATTATATGAAAGCTGACAAATACACAAAACTTCTGAAATCTTCACGAGAAATAAAGCATTCTGAGCATTAACAGCAGCTGTTGAAACTGTCCGCTCTTTAAGGATAAGGTCTTATTCATATGTTCTAAATAATGAGGAAGTTGATTCACGAATTTGATTTCAAACCGACTGTTAAGAAACATTTTCACTTACCCAAAGGGTCTCTGAATAAAGGCTGGATGTAGCTGCTGCACACCTATGGTAAAACCTAAAAAAAAGTGTCCAGAAAACTATTATTAATAAAAGGCATCCACTGTACCATGCAACTTGCAATCCATGTGCACAGCTACATCTCAGACCACATGTACACGCATTCTATCCGCTATGCATGTGAGCAAATTTAGAGTCCCATTTAGAAGCAGTTTAATTTTAATATGCATATGATATGCACAAAGACCAGATGGGAATTCACACTGAAGAACAGCGTGAAAACTCTTATCGAAACAGACAATGGAATATAATGCCTTATTTCACATACTGCGTGCTGTGGTCACTAAAGGGCAGAACGATTAAATGGATGTTACTGTTAATACTGATGTAACAAAAAGCAAAGAACAGGAAAACAGAGTAGCTACTGCAGAAGTCGGCTTTAACTCAGTTATAGGCATTAACACCGGTGTTAACAGGTAGGAGGAGTAAGAAGATCTGGAAGCGAGGTAACTGGACTACATGGTGTCCTCACACAGCAAGCAAAACTGTGAGGGATAGCACGGGTCATCAGATCAGATGAATCCAGCCCAAGCAACCCACTTCCTTGTCCTACAAGTTATTCTAACAGAGAAAGATGGGGTCACCAGGATGCCTCACCAGTTTGAATACTCCTTGGTTTTGCTCCCAAATATGCCAAGTTCACATTTGCTTTCCTGCCATCAATGATGGGGTTGGGGTCTTTGCATGCTCTTTCAGCTGCAGCTCGGTCTGCCATGGTCACCTGCAATCAAGCACAGCCTTGTTTGTAGCAACAGTACTTTGCAAACTTTCCGGCAGCAGGCACTGAGCGGAGTTTATTTATTGTTCTATTTCGAATCAGGAGCTAAGCTCTGCTTCTTGAGATCTCACTTGCATAGCAAGAGGGGAAGGGGCCCTGCGGGCTCCCCCCTTGGAAAGTTGCTGTGTTGGGCTCATGCCAGGAATTTTCCCCTGCTCCTTACTTTTCCCCCCCCTCCCCCCCTTTTAACAAGTCGGTGGAGCC